CCCCCCACCAGCCCCTGTGGTCAGCCAAAGACCACGCTCAAGGCCCTGAGCAAAAAGCTGGGGCTCGCTGCCCAATTTCCCGGGGGGCTTTTACCCCGCCGACCACGCCTGTCGCCTGAGGCGAAGTACACAATGCGGGCGTCTAGCTTCAGCTCCCTGGATGCAAGACATCTTGCCTCTTTCTCTCCCATCGGATCGAGGGAGCACACTAAAATGTGAGGCACCAAACGCCGAAGGCCCTTCCCTTCCCAGGCGCATTTCTTGGCGGCGGAAATCTGCCCTTCGTCCGAGCTTTTACCGAGCTGGGGACTGGAATGTCGAAATGCTGGGAGCCGAGGCGGCGGCGGTCGGGTCAGGGTTAACCCCAGCCGGGTCAGAGGCGCCGAAAACCGCCTCGTTTGCCCCACCAAGTGCACTATTTAGAGAAAGCGGGAACAATTAAAAGCAGCTGTGGACTCCTGCGTGGTTGGCGGGCTTCGGAGGGACCCCGGCCCTAGGCTCCTGATGGTGATTCTGAGATTTACGCAGAGACCGCGCTTTCTCTGCAGCGTTCCATTTTCGCAATTTGTAGGGTGAAAGAATGCATTTCGTCCCCGTAACCGCCGGTCTAACACTTTTTAAGCCAGGTGTTGAGATTCGGCTATATGTATTAGCCTGCATTTGTAGATATAAATACGTATTTGATGATACGGAAAATTGCCATGATTCTAAGACTGAAATACTGATGAGGAAGGATGCTAAAAACACTTAATGCGCATTTCCATTTAAATGCTTCAGTGTTTGGAGCTGAGAAAACACAGCGATGTGTTGATAATCTTGGTAAAAGAAGTTTAAGTCCACATGAAAAGCCAAGTTGTTTACCTTTGAATGAGGTTTCTGAAACACAGATGAAGCACATTTGTGTTCGAAGGCTAAAATGGAACTTACTTAGATTCTTTTATGCGTACATGATAAATAAGAATTTGGCCCATTGTAGACAATGATAGAGTAGTGGAGATCGAACTGAAAGGTTGCCTTTCTAGGAATAAACAAAGCTACTTTTAGAGCCTCAAAATCGAGAATTTACCTTTAATTGGAAATGAAATGTTGACCATCAGAAATAAGAATGAGGTGCAGGTTTCCAGCAATGAAAGATTTTTTTTCCCCCTGGCTAGTTGGGTGGCAATTTATAGAAGGGTGTTTTTTCGTATTCTATAATAGTCACCTCCTTTGAAAAGATAGACTAATTCTAGAATTCCTTAGTAGTAATAGATTACTACTGTCTGGTGGCAGGACTATTAAGTCCTTAGTAGTTTTAAAAATCCAGTTACTTCACTTTGTTAACCTACAGATGTTTTTCTTCTGAAAATTAAGATTAAAAATCATTGTAGATGAAAAATTCGAGTTTAAAATGTCATCTCAAGACTTTTAAAGTCTGAACAGGTTTGAACAAATCTGATTTTTAAAATTTCAAGAGGTTAGCCAGGCTTCCCTTTAAAAAAACATTTTGTCATTATAAAAGAAATACTCATTATATAAAATTCAGGGGGCAAATCCTCTAGGAAACTGTAAAGAAAATCTTGATCACCCATAATCTTATCACCTTGAGATAGTGCCAATAAACCTTTTAGAGTTTGATTTACCAAACTAGCATTCAAATGTACTTAACTAATATGTGAGATAGTTACTAATATCTTTTTAAAGATAGCATTACATGTTTAATTACTAAAGAGAAAAATGGGGTTAAATTCTCAATTATTTTCTTTCCAAGGAGTCATCAATATCAAAAACACACTGAATTTTCAGCCTTTTTTAAAAAGCAAATAATCATTAATTTTTCTAACTTAAAATGTGCAGCCTTGAATATCAATTTCTAAAAAGCAGAGACTTGAGAAGAATTACCACTGATAATACTATTCTAAAAGTAGTATACTAATCATTTCAGTGAATTTCCTTTTGCATTTTATTCCTCTGCACGTGCAAAAATTTCCTCCTTGCTTAGAAATACGATTTTCTAAGAAAAAGAAACACATGAAAAACACATGTATTTCAGCTAAAACTTTTTTTTATTATCTAAAGCAAGAAACAATATTAAAGGAAAAAAAACACATTAATAGACAAATAGCATAGATAACATGTTTGTGCTATCTAAAATGGTAAAAAAAACATTAAAAGCCAGAAACATATCAGCCAACCATTAGTATACAAGTGCTTCAGGTGCTTTTTAAACATTTAGTATCTTAACTGAATTTTTGATTTCTTAGATTATTCTTGATATTGAATATTTCTTTCCAGTTTGCTCATGTTCTAGGCAAACACAAGAAGTGCTGATATACATTTTTTATTTTATCAAACAGTAACTGGACTTTGTATTTGGACATTTTGTCCATTTTTTCCCCTTTCAGTTTGCTGTGGATCTGTGAAGTTTCTAATTTGCCTCATGTATTTAGCTTAACATTTAGTGTGGTGGGAAAATGCATTGTATTTTTAAACAAGGTGTAATTTCACTTATTGACTAATAACTAGAACTTCTTTTTGGACATTTTACCTATTTTTTGACAATATGCAATACCTCTTACTGATACTGTTTATGTACTTCATATTTAACTTACCTAAGATAGTAGTAAGTTTTTATTTCTAAACAAAGTGGAATTTTCACTTGTCAAATAAGAACTGGATTCTCTATTAGATACCTTAACCATTTTTAATGAGACTTCTTTTGGATCCGTGAAGCTGCTGATTTGCCATATGGTTTTGACATATATTCTAACACGATGGGGAAATTTTTCTTTTAGCAAATTCATATTTTTCAATTGTAAATAGTAACGGCTTCAAATATGGCCTTACTCATTTTTATGATAGTTTGTCATAAATCTGGAAACTGTTGATTTACCTTATATATTTGGCCTAACTTCTAGTATGGGGCACAATTATACTTTTAAGCAAAGTGGAACTTTTCACTGGTCTCACAGACATTGAAAATAGCAAGGCAACATCAGAGAAAACTGATGTTAAACTGAAGAGATAAAGAAACAACTATCCATCTACAAACAACAGTTTTACTTCTGATAAAATTGCCATAACCCAAATGCTGAACTACTTAAGAAACTGATTTGTCAGAAATTCTCAAGTCAGATACTCCTATTCTTTGGTAGTCTATTAAGTACAGTGTTTACAGATCACATTTTCTCCAAAATAACCAGCTACTTTGTGTTTTGTTTTATTTTTCACTAACTGCTCCCACTTCCTCCACCTGCCCCTATTTCCTCAATTTTACCTTTCCGTATTCCCTGTTCAAATACCGAAGTGCAGCTTCTGTTACGACCCTCTTTCTTCCTCCTAGGGGATATTCAATTCTAGGTGAGGAATTGTTGGAAGCTGGTATGTCCTTTACAGAATCTCGGGGTCGGGCGGGCAGAGCTCTTTTACACTTTGCTCCATTTCTGTCCAGAAATTCACAGAAATGTTGACATGGTGGCTTTTTTCTCTCCATCCTCTCCCAAACCTTTTCAATAGAGACAGACAGACATGGATAGACACACACTCACACACACACACACACACACACACAGAGGCCGGCACACGTAGGCTTTTTCTAAACTTTAACCATTTAGAATCTAGTTATTCAGTATGTCGTCTCCCCGATTTGCAGAAACATCCAGCCCAAAAGAGCAATGGAAGATTAAAATAATCAGTAAACTGGCGGGCACCAAGGATCAACAGGTCTTTCAACAAGTCTTTTCAAATGAAGGTGTTTCTGGTTGGGGTTTTCAGGTCGGTAGCCAGAGGAAGTCTTGGATGTCCTCCTAGCTGTTTCACCTAAACTTCATCCAAGTAAAATTCTATAAATTGAAGGGTTTAAAGCATTTTGTAAATCAATGGACCGGTATTAGAAACAGTGTTGATAAAGAAAAATGAATCTCTAGTCCGACACTACAGCAAACATTTCTCCAGCTGCTCCTCTCCCTCCGTCTGTGTTTCATGGACAGACATACATGTACAAAGCTGTAATTTTATTATGTGAAGATTTTTTTGGTAGTCTGTCTTGTAAGATAAGTGAACCTTGCTTAGGGGAGAGCATTTGTCAAGGATGCCGGTATTTCTGTGCACGGACTATTTAGCAACATTGCTGTGTGTGAGGCCGGTGGAGCCAAGCGCCCACCCAGGTGTGCAAGTCTCTGAGTCTGGGTCAGGAGAGGGGTCCCCGGTGGAGGGTCATAAGCCTTTACTCGTGGCCTCCTCTTATTCAATGTTTTTTTTTGTTTTGTTTTGTTTTTTTTAATGAATGGCTGGTGTAGATCTATGAGACTGGTATTTAAAAATCCATGGGTAACTTGGAAAGGGACAACTGTTAACATGAATAAAAGGATTTAGATTTAACAGAGTTTCAATAGTCTGCACTGCTGTGCTGAAACCAAAAAGATATTTTTAGCAGTGAATGCATGGTAATTCATCTGTGAGGAAGGAAAGGTAGGTGTCTTTGTATGGTGGTATTTGTTTGTGGAAAGAGGTTAATATGAACTACCAGCATGATGTGGCTTCAAAAAAATTATTCAGATTTAGGACTATGTGCACATGTCAAAAAAATTAATAGTACCTAATTCTGATCAACCACGTCTGTACTATTAAGTTCATTTCTG